TTCTGACAGAAGATTTATCTCTACCTTATTCTTTCATGGTGCATGCTGACCTAGTCGACGTCTGCATTTCGACTCCTACACGAAACAAGGGTACAGGTTAGCCGAAATTAGGCTTGTAAGTGTGTCGACGTGAAACGATTTCATCAGGGAATTTAGAATTGCGTATGAAGCTTCTTACTGCAGCGACTAGCAATAGATGGTAAGGCCCAGGAATATGTCACATGAAGAAATAAACGAAAAGAAGAAGTTGAAGAAGAATGAACGATCAGCAGTAAAACAAGCAGGTGAAAAAGAAGAGTAGTAGATGACGAAGGTGGCAAGTTCGCCGTATTCGATTTCTGACGTGCCTGTGATTCAGTGATTAGAAACGACAAGCGATTTGATACATGAATCTTTCTTTACTAGAAAGTTATATTGAGCTTTAGAACCAACTGTTCAGTTAATAATAATGGTAGTCAATTTTTTTGGATTGAATATCATAGAAGAAAATGGACGAAAGGAGAAATAACGGATGGTACACTGTTGTAAAAATATCCTTAAAAAACACTAACGTTGTTCACCATAATTCGTAGAATGCTGAAAAATACTTATTCATGCATTCAGCAGACCAGCACGATCGATCAGTCGAGTTCCATATTACATATTCTCTAAACTTTATTCGCTGAGTTTCGCTATCCATTGCTGTCAGCGTTTAATTTGTGTAGAGAAATATTTAGCAACTGATCGTTCATCAGAGAGACTGCTTAAGATTTAAATTAAGCTTTACCTATGATCTAACTAGAAATGAAGTTGATTTACATCCGCTGTTTCAGGGTTTCTTGAAAAAGAAATCAAGAAGGATCGCATTCCTATACTAGACACGGGCGAAAATCCCGACGCACCTCAACCGAGAGAAATGATTGATCTAGAGGTATTGTTTGTTAATGAGTATAGTTACCACGTAAACATTAAAAAATGTTTTTCAGGCAACGTTTGAAAAATTAGATAACGAACTACGTGAAGTGAACACTAACGAAGAAATGTTGAAAAGGAACTTTCTAGAACTTACTGAACTTAAACATATTTTGCGTAAAGCTCAGACGTTTTTTGAAGAGGTAAGAAATAGTTTCGGTGTATTGAAGGCAAGGTTTGTAATTCTTTGGTATCATTTATCAGATATCATTGAATAA